AAAGCCCTATAGCCCTTCGGATTAAGGCGTGATCATAGGATTTCATAGTCTCAATTGAGTTTAAGACAAGATGTGGGGTCCAGTCTAGTAAGGATCGCTATGCCACCTCTATTTTATTTATTCTAGGATTACTGCTTAGCAAAACAAACGATAGGTCATAGACGGGAGCAGGCAAACTCTCCTACATCGTGCTCACTTTTTTCAAATGAATCAAGAAAGTCAAGATCAGATATATGAAATCGAAGACCTTCGAGGGCAAATATATGACTGGGAAGAAAAGGGTAAAAAAGTCCCAGTCCAAGCACATATGGCACGAAAAGGAAATTCAATTTCGATAAGACTTGATATAAATCATAGTTTAGATTCAAGTTGGTTCAGTGAGGGCAACCGTGAAAGTCACCGAATGGGTCAATCTTTTCCTTTAGTTTTTCCTAGGTTTGAAATATAAAAAGGTGAGTGAAGACATTACAGATGTCCGGAGCATTCACAACTTCTTCTATTATAAGACTAGAAGACCATCGAAAGACACCTAAGCCTAGAGCATGTCGTGAAAGAATCACATTGGGTGGGCGTGCTTCGACCATGTCTCCGGGGCATAGTTGAATGTAAATATTATGAACACGAGGTGTACGATACTAGGCCAAGAAACCCAGGCAACCGCTCTCCTATGTACCAATAGCTAGCGCATCTAGGGCCTCGATGCCCGCTATATATATTTAGAAGTTGATTATATTTAATCAATAAAATTCTCTATTTTTTGTTTGTCTGCTCCTCATTATATGTAATTAGCCAAAAAAATTCAGATACATCTTGAAAAATTGAAACCAAAACTATGATTTTTTTGTGAATAAGATAAAAAAAATCATTATTCTTTTAATGTACGAAAATGAATTTTCGATACCTCTTTCTTGTGTCGAAGACTAGTAAAGTTGAATAATCTCTTCTAGAATTATTTGCTAATCGGTTACTTGTGCTAATATTTAGTCTAATTTTTGACATTGAAATCTGGCAATAGTAGCATAGGTGCGTCACTTCAAATTTGGCAAAAACATTAGGATTAGTTGTGAAAATTTTAAATTTAAATAATATAAACAAATTTCTTGTCGAAGAAAAAAAAAGAAATTGTTGATACAAATTAGATTTTTATTATATTTTTGCGACAAAAACATAAAAAACTACTATCTAAATATCTAAAAACAAAGACTGAATTAGCATGGAGGTGTCAAATTGGGTAGACAGCGGTTAATTGCTTGGTAGTGGTCCAAATCAGCAGCCTGACTGGGGGCCGAACTTAGCCCCACCTTAATTAATTTAATTAAAGCATTTTAAGTATGCTTTGTCTATTAATACATGAACCAAACCTGTTTGATTTAGCTAAAAACGATGAAAATTTAATTTAAAATTTGATTTTTATCAATTTTTTAATCACATAATCATTATTTTTAATCAGAATCTAATAAAATCTGATTTTTGTCAAAATCAGATGCTTAATGTCCTGCGTAGATCAATTGAGGCATTATAAATTTTTTAAAATTAAAATCAAGAAAATAAACGATATTACCTAATTGTATTGGGTTGGTCCGGTCAATGCCAATAATTTTGTCCAAACAAATTATACATAGTAGCAGGAGGACTCCAAAATAGGGATGACAAAAAAACTCGACAAACTCGATACCCG